TCAGAATACAATAATCTAAATATACATCTTCTGCTTCAGTTCATAACCCTATCATTTTCTAAGACCAGTCACTCACTAAATGATGGTATTAAATTACTTCCCAATATATCTGATGTCTCCAGGAGAGACAGAGATCATCCTGTATGGAAAGAAAAGCAAACCCTTTGTTGTAGCACATGGATAGTTCTTAATTTTCCCTATATTTGATATAAAAAGATCGTGTTCATCTTGGCGTCGTCCTAGGGCTAGGAGTTCAAATTTGAAAAGACAATTCTTGTCTAGAGACAATGTGATGGGGAGATTTAGTGCATAATTTCCCTGCAAAAATTATGTATGTTTTGCACAGAACCCAGGGGAATAGCATTCGGCCACAGGGGCATTGGGTATCTTGGTTTCTTGCCCCAGGAATTCCTGCAGTGAGAGACAGGATGCCATGAATTCGAGGATTGCAAGGTATTGTTATGAGAAAACACTGAATCATAAAGAAAACTGAGTCAAGTGTACACTGTGCACATTTCCCTGTAAAGTCTGGAAATTTCCAACATAAGAACGAGAGCACAGCAAATGTACCTATCCACTAAAAATCTAGAAATAGCTTTAATTTCAGAGTTTTTGGCTAGAATTAGTCAAAAGTACAAATCATGCACCAAGGACACAGATAGGTGGGTTTTCTTTTCTTAACACCAAACAAATCTAGAAGTTCTTATTAACATTCTGAGGCAGGGGACTGACCTAGAGCATGCTCCATGAGCTCAAAGCAGGATAGCAGTCACAGACTGGGACCCAAACTTTCCGAAACCTCCTCAATGGGACACAGAGCATCAAGAAACCCAGTAATTCTCTAAGGCTTTTCTCAATTATTTCCATTGCTTGAGTTCCCTAGTTCTGGGGATGTGGCCTCAGTCAGAATGGGATAGGTTATGCTGTGATAACAAACAACTCCAAAATCTCAGTGTCCCTGAACGACACAGATTTGTTTCTCACTCACACTACATATGCATCCCAGGCCATCAGGGAACATCTGTTCCTCATAATCATTCAGGGGCTGAGGTGATGGAGGATGAGAGATTTTACACTGGCAATGACATTCTCAGGCTTCACACGACAAAGATGACTTCCATACAAAGCCAATGGGCCAGAACTAGTCACATGTATACCCCTAACTTCAAGGAGTGAAAAAACACAATCCTCCCATGTGCTCAGAGAGGAAAATTAGCTATCACCAAATATTGTATGTCTTGTGACGGTATGGAGCTGGCTAGCACTCATTTAACTTCTTTGCATTCATCCACCAAAACTTCAACCTGAAATAAAATCGACCACAGTGCTCCTTAAATTTAGTGTGCATATGAAGCACAAAGGGAATTTCAAAATGCAGATTCTGCTTAAGGAGGTCTGGGACAGGGTCCGAGATTCCACATTTCTAACGAGCTCCCAGGTACTGTGCTACATGTAGTCTTTGGAAAACATTTTGGCTCCACCAAATGACTTCTCTGCGGCTGCATCCAAGTAGCCCAACTGTGCTGGAGAAAAATCACAACTAAACTGACTAGCTGCACTCAAAGGTCTTTATCTCAAACCTCAGCACAGTACAACCTTTGGCAATCCCTAAATTCACCCGCCTCAAGCTATTCTTCATTGTCCTGCCTTCCTCATTTCAGAAAATGACATCAGCATCAGCCAAATGTGCTCACTCAACCTTAATAAAGGAAACCATCATCTCTCATCTGGATTATTGCAGCAGGCTCCACAGCTTCCAGTCCTAACACGCAACAGTCTATTCTCCATAGAACAGCCTCATGACCCTCTTTAATTAGACTGAATCGCATTGCTCCTTACTGTCAATGGCTTCCCACTGCACTTAGAATAAAATCTAAACTCCTAGCACAGGTCTTTAAGGCACAGAATAACTTCTCTCTACCTACTTTTCCAATCCCATTTCATGATACTCTCTTCTTGCTCACTACCTCTGGCCACTGGATCACCTTTCACTTCCTTAAAGACCTCAAAGTTTTTCCACATTCTATTCCCTCCAAATGCACGGTACACTCATTCCCCAACAAACTCATTCTCTCCACTCTTTGCTGTCTAGATCCATCTCATCTTTCAAGTTACAGTTTTAAATGTTATTTCCTCATAGAGACCTCACTGACTTTCTTATCTAAAGCAGTGCCCAAGCTTTATTCCCTATGTGGGCACTTTGCTAATTTCCTTCAACACTTCACAATTTGTAACTATTGTATCTCTTTTCCTGTCTACTTTATTTTTTACTTCTTATGTGTGTCTCATCCAAGTTGGATTCTCAGGTCTTTGTACTGTGCTGCACATAGTTAAAGCTCAGTGGATATTTGTAGAATAAATTAATGGGTAGTTGAATGGATGGATGAATGGTTGAATAATATTTTTTCCTTTGGCATTAGCCTAAATATAATTCTATGCCCAAGTGTATTCTATTAAATCATCCTATGAATAAGTTTCAAGTCAGTGAATTTCAACAGCTAAAACTAACTATAACATTTCTTCTCCAAATCACACTAAATCCATAATCTGAAAGAAGCTTAAAAATTTCCTGGGCTTTTATAGATATAATCAGTAATATTTTGTGGGTTTTAAAAAAAGAGGAAATAAAGTATAATTTTAGAAGTATTTCATTATACACCTATATAATTGACTCTCTTAAAATTCCCTAGGAAACACTATCATATGTGCCTAAAGATTTTTTTATTCTTTATAATACAATTGAAATGTATTGGTCTAGTAGAGTGTAGTAATTTCTGTATGGCCAATGCTTTTGACACCATGATGAGAAAAATCAATACAAATTACAAAAATCATACTCTTTAGAGCATCAGAGAGCTATGAATGAGATAAACTAAATTTCCAGAAACAGGAGATCCTTTCTCAGGCAAGCCAACAACTTCTGTGAGTTTTTTTTTCTCTTGAGAATGTGTGCTAAATCTGGGCAAAAAGTGAGTGGCAGGTGTGGCCCAGGCAGAGGATCTCTAGGGTAGAAAGAGAGAGCAAGGTTTTTTGGTTACCAAGGGCTGGAGAAATATATTGGAAATTTAAGAGTCCCTAAAAATCTTGCTGGGGTTTTTCTCCATGAGACATTTGCTGACATTTTTTGACATGTGCAGGAAAGCTGAGGAGTTAGGGTGAAAACTTCTAAAGTGCAGAATGCAGTTTTCTTCATCCCTTAAGTAGGTGTTTGGAAACAAATGCCTAGTGAGGGAGGAGTCCAGCTTTAAGCAACCAGCTGGTCTCCCCCTTGACATTTGATGCATTTGAAGTTGCTTGGCTGGAAAGCTGGAGCCTGGAGCTTTCCCTTTGAAGGGCAGAGCTAAATCTTCTACAGTTTCACAGGGCTGACAGGATGGGCACACATAGGCTCTCCATCCAAAGACTGTAAGACACACGATGGAGAAAGGGGGACTAGGGAGATACAGACTTACTGAAACTGCAAAACATCCTTGACCCAGATCAACCCTTGATGCACTGAAGTATCAGTTCCCCACTGTATCTGAATAACCAAGGAAAGGAGGAATGCTTTTTGGTGGACATTAACATTGTCTGAAAAACCTACATTTGTTTTTACACAATGTCTAACATTTAATCAAAAATTACTAGCTATGCTAGATGATGCGACTGACAAAACATAAAACAAGCTCATTCACAGATTATCTAGATATTAGATTTTTCTGATAAGGAATTTAAAATGACTACGGTTAAAATGTTAAAGAAAATAGAAAAGAAAAAAGGCCAAAATAGACTTTGTCCTTTCTTTCATGGAGAATTCTAAGAGCTGGAGTTTAAAAAAATACAACTTAAAAAAATGTATATTCCAGACCAGGAGTTAGTGATATTTCAGCCCATGGGCCAAATTCAGCCCATTGCCTGTTTTTGTATGAAGTTTTACTGGAACACAGCCATGTTTACTTATTGTCTATGGCTGCTCTTATGCCACAACAGCAGTGTTGAGTAGTTAGAACAGAGACCAAGTCTAAAATATTCACTATTTATTCACCTTGAAATATGCTGTGAACTTTGACATATGAATTGCTTAGAATATCAAGACTTAATTAATACCTTCTTTCCAAATATTTTCTTTTCAATCAGCTCCTTCAGGGTAGATAGCATTCAATAAATGTGAGTTACTATCATTTGCTGAACACACAGTGAACTCATAATTTTATTCAAGACCACATATTAAAAACCTTGGAATTGTGAAGTTGAACTCAGATCCCAAAACTTTAACATGTGGCCCAGAATAAATAAAAGAGGCTTCTGTCCATTTTAAAGAAAGTAATGTTCTTCAACTTTTCCTTGTCACTGTTGGATTTTACAATGATTATTTGAGTTCTGGGAGTGAGGACTCTGACAAACTTGAAATTTGGCAACAAGAATAAAAAGGCAGTCAAGTGCTATGTCTTGAGTACTTAAAAGAAGGGTGTCCACTTTTTTTCATGAGAGGGCCATACAATTAGAAATATATATATATCAATGCCAAATAAATGTTATAATTAGTAATAACAAAGCTCATGTTTATTGCATATGTACTATGGGCTGTTAACAGCTCCATTTAATTGGCTTTGGGTGACCTCTCCATCTTACTTTTTAAGAACTCCCACATGATTATAATGTCCAGCCAGGATTAACAAACTACTGATCTAGCTTCTTCTCCTTGCTTTCCCAACACTTGCTGTGTTCCAGCCATACTCTACTGCAAAAAAAATGGCAGAACAAGTAACTCCTGTCTCTCAGGCTCACTCATCTCCACTTAATTAATGAATATTTGAAAATTAAAATCATCTGTTAGTTCCCCTGGCTGGATAGACCATACTGCTGGGTTCTTTGTTTCCTAATTGTTCATTAAAAAACAGTAAGACTTGCATACTTTTTGGCTCAATAAGTATTTGTTATAGACAAAAACTATGGTGGCTATTGTTGTCTTTCTTTCCTCTAAATAAGCTGCAGTAATAAAATGTATTATCCTCTTTTAGGCAATGTGCTGGGCATTTATGCAATGAGGTGGTGGCCAAAAAAGTGTGACACTTGAGGACTTTCATTGCATTGGAGCAAAATTCACATGGAAGTTGGGGAATATGGGAAAAAAATAAAGCAAACCTATTCACTGTCTCTGTCTCTCTCTCTCTCTTTCCCCTAGACTCCGCCTTCCCTCCATCCCTCCCTCCCCTGCCCCAGCTATCTATAGAAATTCGAAATTTAAAGAATTTGTGGGAGTCAGACCTGTCCTCTGTCACAAACACTATCTAGCTTTGCTACTCAGACAAAGTATAGGAAATGACAGAAGGAAGAGAATCATGCTGCTGGGAAGCTGATTTCATTTCCATCTCCAATTGACTGTTTAGAGTCTACAGGATGAGGCTGATGTATTAGGTAAGCATTATTTAAGGCACAGATCAGTCCAATCCTGTCCCGAATGTGTTAATGAGAAGATCATGATCCCTAGGCAAGTACTGGATGTGTGTGTGTATGCATGTATAAGTGTGTGTGTATTTCTGTATGTGTAAATAAACACCATTCATGTACAAAAATACATGTGACATCAGTCTTAAACATCATCCATCCATCTATCCATCTTTCTACCTAAGCACCTACCTACTTACCTATCTATCCATCTATATCAATCTGTATTTTTCCACATGCACAGTTCAAGTTTATAATATGCTGAGTTCTAAAATTGAGATAATTTTTTAACTCAACGCATTGATTTTCCGTACATGTAGACATTAGTATCTCATAGCTACATAGCTCTTTTACAATTGGTAAATATTTAACATCTCATATCTCAGCTACTCTTTTTCAAAATCTCCAGAGATGCTAAGATGATGGTATCAATTTCATGTTGCAAATACAAGCCAAGACTTGAGTAAGATCACGGGACTCTTCCAAAGGACACATAACCAGAAAAGGGTGACCCCAGCACCAGAATCTAGGGCAGATGGTTTCAAATCAAAAGCTCAAGGGGTGGTATTGCCTCCATAAAGGAGGTTAAGCTGTGAACAACTGCACAGGACTTAGCTCTCACTCTTAGCCTCACTTAACTGATTGTTCCCCTGCAAAGCTTCAGTTTCTTTCTATGCAAACCAAGGCAGGGATACTCACATGCAGATTTTGTGAGTATTGGAGTTAATTCATGAAAGCGCTCAGCCACATCTCTGGTACTTTTTAGGAATTGAATACACCGAGGCTACTTTTTATTCTATGATATCATGCACTTGGTTTATGTATGCAAGTCAACAAGGAATATACACATTGGCTGTCAAATTGTTGACTGAATGATTTCCACAGGATTCACAATTCTAGACCATTTCTTCTATTTCACAGAGTGTTTCAGTTTCTCTCCATTAGAAGATGAGCTGCACTCACAATACAAACTCATTTAAATATTACTGTACAAAACACTGAATTTAGAAAGTAAAATTTTCTGCAAAAAAGTGATATTATTCATTCCTAACAAATTTGTAAGGATTGACTTATGACATACTTAATCATGCAATTATTCCCATTTATTACCATGAATAAACAAGAGCTGGATATGGATATTATTAATATTAAGCAAACAAAGCCTGATGTCTAAAATTAGGGAAAAATAAAATTCATTAAAAATTAAGTTCATAAAGTTTTTGTTTATAATTAATTCTGAAATATACTGGTCTGAGTATTGACAGCTATTAGTAAAATAAACTTTATGTTTTATGTTATAAAATAAGCTATATATTATATTCTGTATATATATATATATATATATACATACACTCAAAAAAGTATATTTTAAAAATCCTTACAACCAAATGCTGTCTGATGTGTTTACATACCAAATCAGTATTTGAACTGAAGATTATTTGGCTACATACCGCTTTATTTCTGTCATTTTAAGTTTGATAGAAATAAGGCTCAGTGAAGCCAAATATCACCAATTACTGAAATGCATATAAATATATATTATTAAATACACGTATATTTGTGTTAGCATATATTGATTTGTATACCAGTATTTCTGTGTATATATACACAAATCTATATAAATATAATTACACATATATGTGTATTTATATATAAATATATGTAAATATATCTATAGCAGACATATATATATATACACATACAATAATAGAAATAAGGCTCAATGTAGCCAAATAATCATCAATTCAATTAGTGATTTGGTAATTAAACATATTAGACAGCGTTTGGTTTTCAGATTTTTAAAAATGTGCTTTTTGTCTTTCTGATAATCAAATACATTTACTTCACTTATAAGAGTTGTTGTTGTACAAGCTACTTCTCCATCCACAAGCAAGAATGTTCTTTTTTTTAAAGAATTATGCACATTTTGAGTGACAGTAAGAAAATTAAAAGAAAACATAAGCACAACAAAACTCAAAGGCTCTTAACTAACACCATCCCTGCCAATGTTCAACTCTCCAGTCGGCTCAGACTGCTATTTTGTTCTAAACCCCACAATGTTCATTCGTGTGTTGAGTTCCTCTTGACTGTCAGGATGAAATGACAACAGTCTCTGATAATGACAATGACTTGCACTTGTAAAACACCAAGTGAAATTTAACTGTGCTCAAAATATTCATACATCATACTCTGAATAATTCAATGATGTGTGGGAAAAGAGGGGCAATTTTTGGAAAATTTGGCCCACGTAATCTTTTGCGAGTAATTAACTTTCTCTGGTGCAATAACATTGTCATTTTTTTCATGTCTTAATGTCAAAATGCAGTGAGAAATTTGATACCTAAGTGACACAGCTTTATCACTTCCCAACTACTGAAATGTTAAAGAATTTAATATCAAAGTGTACGGTTTTTTTGAAGTAAGTCTTATGTACTATTTCACGATACATAGTTTAACTCCTATAGATTAACCCGAATAACGGATTTTGCTCAGGCCATTTTCCCCATTAGACAAGGAATCCTTTCATTTAAATAGCAGGGTTCATAAAAACCCAGACCCTAGGAACAAGACAATTTAGCCCTGACTTATAAAAATCAGCTTTCAATCACATCCCAGTTTCCTTCAGGCATTTTTTCAGAGATTTTACGGATTTGATTGTACAGCAGAAGGTTGAATTCTCACACAGTGATCATTAGTGAAAAACAAACAGAGCAAGTACTAAAGCTGGCTTTGCACCTACTGAAAGCTGCAAGTGTCTGTACTCATTTGATATGCATCTTGCAAAGCTCGGCTGTTCCCAGAAGGCCACTCCATGAAGACTGAGAGAGCAGCGTCTGCTAGTGGTGCCTGCGAGTCACAAAGAACAGAGAGAAGCTTTATAACAAGGATGCTAGAAGGCATCACAGAATTAGAAGGCAGGCTGAAAAATTGGGTTTGTACATTTTCTTGCCTAAAAAAATCATGCACATGAAATTATTTTGATTATTTTTGTAATGCATATTAGTCACACTGAGGAACCATTGCATCAGCAATATTTTCTAGGTCTCTTCCTTGGCTCCATTTATGAAGCACTTTACTAAAATCATTTCATTAATTGCTTATTGGACGGGTTTATTTATGGCTATAGGACAAAAGTGTGACTTCAGAAGCCCACAGAGCCTGCTGTTCCTGGACGGCGAGCATCAGTTGGGTTCGGTGCATCACCCCACTTTACCTGTGGCGTTCAGTGGGCACTGATTGAACGCTAAGTCGCCCGCTGGGGTCCTTTTCCACACCATGGACATCACATAATCCTCCGGGCATATTTCATAAGGCGCTGTAATTTAAAACAGAGGGACTTGAATGCCAGCAGTGTTTATTTTCTTAAATCTTGGCAATAAACAGGCCTTAAATGCATCTCTCTAACTGTAGAGCTCTTTCATTTTCTCTAAAGTACATTGTTTCCTGAAATGTTAGAAATGTCTTCATAAACAAAAACCACTAGGTTCCATTTCATTATCTACAAAATCTTCACAGAAATGTCCTTTCTTTTGAAAACGCTTACTGTGTAGGCTTTTTAAAAAAGTCATTTGGATTTGCCTATAAATTGAACATTACATTCAAGCATATAAATAAAAAATCTTTCCAATATTCGTAATGTTTTGGGATGTTATACAATAAAATGATTTCCAATAAGCTGAAAGCCATATTAAAATTGTTGACTGTAAGTATGAAGAGTAAATAAATATAAAGGGCAAAAATATATAGCTTTTCATTTTCTCATACAAGAGCACTTATATCAATCATACTCCATCATATAAAAATAAACTGATCTTATCTTAGCGCCTTATTATTTTCAAAAGCTCAATTTAATTACTGAGGGAAGAAAGTTAAAGGGAATTTCAAGAAGAACAGATGTATACCAGAAATATTTTAATGGAAAGCCAAAGAATTCTTGAAAGAATGAGGTTTATCTAGACTGTGTTAAATCTGACAGCTTGCTCCTAGAAAGAACATACTACTCCTCCTCTCGACACACTTCCTGCTGGGCTCGTCACACAGCACTGGAGCATTCTTTCTCCATCTCATTCCGTGCCCTTTACAGAATCATCCACGCCTTATTTTTTCCTTACGTTAAACGTTTTCCTTAGATAATTTCAAACATATTAATAACAGTAATCAGAGTCAGTCCTTATTAAGATCCTCACATGCATGGACTCATTTAATCTTCCCCAACAACTTTACGAGGTAGAGACTATTAGTTCCATTTACCAAATGGGAAAAGGCACAGAGAGGTGAATTATTTTTTCCCCCCCCCGAATCCAAACATTCTTTGTATTCTGTGTTGGACCCAGAGGAGAAACTAAGTATAGGAGTGGAGGGTTGGGGCAGGAGTCCCCTTTCCAGGGTGCGGTACCCTTCTCCCCTTAGGGAGCCAAGCCATGACCTCCTGCCCCTTCAACACCCCCACCCCCTTGGGCTGTTACAGGAGGTGGGAGGGCTGAGGTTGGTGAGGCCCCTTCCTGGGACCCAAGAGCTGGTTTTGCTGCCGAGTCTGACCTGAGAGCAGCAGTGATGAATAGGAGTGGAGTCATAATAAATCAAAAATATAAAATAATAAAAAATAAAATTCATCACCAAAAAATGGTACAACTCAAGTGAGGCTGGGGGCAGCCTCTGCTGGGCTCCCTCTTCCAATATGACAAGGACAGAAGCAGTGGAGAAATAAA